AGAGTTCAGATTACCAGTGACTGTATGTCTGCACGCATCGCAATGGACTCAAGGGTTCACCGAGATCTCTTGGGGTCGACGGGGGCAGAAGTGCTGTGTTTGCCCTGAAGCCTGAACAACTAAGCTGTTTTAACAGACAGAGTGGCAGGCCCCGATGTCCCTTAAATCCCATAATAGCCTCTCTGCATCCATCGCCCTGAGCGACGAGCATCGGTGAACGGCTTCAGGTGGGCCGAGGTGTGTACCCAGCGAGCCTAAGGTGGATCAATGCCTGTCACTCACAGTTCTCCTTTTTAACTCCACTCCATTGTCGGCACTCGCCATAAAACTCCCGCTCCACAAACCCCAAACCCTCGGGCTCCCACAGAAGAGCTGAAGAGTGGAACGTTGTGTTTGACTCACAATCATTGGTGAGAGCTGAATGTCACCTGAAACATTTGGGGCTAAAACCAAAACATTTGCATGATTTTGTTTTGCAGCCAAACACCGCTAAAAGTTCTTTGATTTAACGTGAGGTGTGATTGGCCCACCGCGACAGCGGTTACCACCCATTCAGCCGTGGGTTTCCTGCCTCTCGCAGATAGCCGCCGGTAAGCACTCAGTGGGGGTACTTTGAGGTCGATGACGACTAACAAGACGTGCCAGCAGCAGTGTAACAGCACCGCCAATTATATGTATTACCACAACAACTTATACACATAACACATTTTATTTCCCCCATTTTTTTAGTGTGATGTCATCACAGAAGATGAGAGCAAGTTAAAAACTAAAGTTAAAGCTTAATAGAAGCTGAATTTGAATGTAAAATAATGGCATTGATAACTCATTTGAATTTTATTTGCACTGAATTTGAGAAAATTCAATACACCAATTAAATTTTACAAATACAACATTCAACACAATTTCATCTTCATTGCTTTTTTTTCCAATCAGGAATCCACTGGACTCCCTCATCTCTATGAACCTCTGTAAATAAACCAGAATAGAGTGTAACTGAATCAGAGCAGAGTCTACTACAACCGTCCAGCTATTCCATGCACCAAAACAAGCGCTTCAACATGATGATATGATGATATGATGATAATTATTAAAAGAAGGCAGAGCTGTGTGTGGGAAGCACGTCTCTCATTCACATCACATACAATAAGAGCAGCTGATTTTCTGTGCAACAAACCACTTCAGCTTTGACTGATATGAAATGAAGTACTGGCCGCTGTTGATATCGCTTCATGGGAACATTCTCAAACAATACCAGCCATATTTGTTAGGTGCATTTTTAGCTCATGTGACTACTACCATCATCACTTTAACGTGCAATAATAATAATAATAACACAGAATGACTCAGAGGTGCATTTTACTACATTTGATTTAATACTCATTTCTTCTCTGTAAATAAGAAATACTGCAGATACAACATGGGTGTCCAAACATAATTTTGACTCATGTTTTTGTTTTTTACACTACAGCACTTAATTTTCTATCATCTCCTCCACTTTCAAAGTGGATTTTATATTTCCATCCATCTTGACGAGGTTGTATATTATTGTCGATTAAACACATCAACTCCATTTCAGCAGGCGTCCAGCACTCTCCGTAAACCTCTAATGAAGCCGGCCGTGTGGACTCATTTATTTAACAATGACACAGAGCTGAGCTCTGATTGGAGGACAGTATTACCCAACCTCCCCTCGACAGAAACAGCTGTTCAAGAAGACACAGGGACAAAGCTGATCTAGAATCAGACCTACAGGAGCAGCCTCCAAATGGCTTGTTAAATGATGTGTAACGAATGGCAACTTCATTCGATTGCTTTGATCATCAATCTTATTTTTAACAGTAACATTGTACCCACCACGAAGCGTGTGTGTGGTCGGATATGGGTGGCACAAAGGGAGTTTGGGGGAGGGGGGCTTCTAGTCTCCCACAAAATGCACTTTGACTTCAACCTGTTCAACTTTGAAGGCAAGGCCATGTGTTTTATTGACTGTTAACCCAAGCGTATCCCTGCCAGACTGCGAGGAGCTGCAGGCTGCACCAGTTTAAACATCGGTTCCATGTCTATTAACAGCACTGGGTCGTGACCTGACCCCACTTATACCCTCACCTCTCCTGTGCATCTCTCTTTCCTCCCTCTACCTCCGCATTCTACATCTTATCATCCTCCTTTTACCAAGTCGCTCCCTGTGGACCTTCTCATTCTCATATACACACACACACACACACACACACGCACTAACATGCACGCAGGCTCTTGTTGCCCCTCAGCTTAACGGTATTTATAATGATCCGACCCTGGGACCTCTCTGCGCTAATGATCTTCGGCCCCTCCCAATACAAACACACACACACACACACATGCTGACAGACAATAACCTGTCCTCTGATATGCGGCATGTCTTTCTTTCCCCCTTTGTTACGTTGGGATAATCTCAGAGCGGTAAACATGGGGAGTAATTAGACAACTCAAACAGCCCAAAACTAACAGCCTCATGTCTTGAATGCAAAAATGTCTCCAGTGATTGGGAACAATCGAGCAGTTTGCTACTGGCAAATGTAAGATACACAATGTTTCCCTCCCATGTTGGGATGCTGAAATAGTGTTTGAGGGGAAATAAGAAGTATTCCTTCGTTTAAGAACATCAATGAAATAAAATACAGTCTTACAGTATTTATATTTGTTTTTAGGTTTTAATAGACAGTTTAATCTAAAACTAATCATGCTAAAAGCAATAATTTCATCTTCATCTGATGATTTGCACGTTTTCAGATGAACTAAACAATTTAACTTGCGTTCCTGGGTTGTCAAAGTCAAAATGTTATCAGCATTTTAGGAGATTAAAAAAGGGATTAAAAGACTGAAATAACACAAATCATCTTCAACATCAAGGCAAAAAAAAGGTTTACTTTTTTCTTCTTTTTTTCAACAAATCTTTATTTCCCTACATGAGTAGGTCATACAATATATTACCAAATACAAAACCTAATGAGAGAAATTCACATTATCTAGTACAAATAAGTAGGAAGAATTTACATTTTGTAGACATGATTTCCAGCGGTAACAATTATCTGTAATGAGTGAAAACAATTTACATAATTGTGAGTTACATCTGAAAATTGCATTTTTTTCATTCACCCCAAAACGTGTTTGGTATTTGTCGTTCATCGCTCTTTAGAGTCCATTCATTGAAAGTGACACATTAGTATACATGTCTGGTCCTGAGACACAGAGAGATGCGGCAGGACGACACTACAGCTCAACACACAAACACACACACGTGTACATCCCCCCCACACAAAAAATAAACTATTATGCTCTCGCTCTCCTACTTTTTCTCTCTCTCAGAGTTTTCAATTCTCATGAGTCACCAACACACACACACACACACACACGTCCTCGCACACAAACAAGCTCTGTTTCTCCCTCTCAATCAAGCGCTGTCAGCAGAGCGAGAGCCTGATACGAGGCCAGGGACACGGGAAATGAAAGATGTCAACCACTCTTACAATTGAGCAGGACGGAGCACATGAGAGGGAATACGTGACCGCTGCTTTGAGCTCATGGGAAATTAATCTCAACTCATGATGCAATATTTGTTTTTAGCTAATGCATTGTGTCTTGAGGTGGTCTGGAGGAGGACTGTATGAATATGATTCCAAGTGCCTGCAATTCTAAAATAATAATGTTTCCTGGGCAAACGGACCCATGATCTAACTCGTCTTGTACTGTTCTTTTCTTATTTTTTCTACTGACACACATTGAAGATAAAAAACCCAAACTAGATGGAAGCATACACTTATCAAACACACACACACACACACACACACACACACACACACACACACACACACACACACACTCTCTCTCTCGTCCTCACCCTTAAATCAGTGAAGAATGCATAAATTAGTAAGAGGCAAGACCATCACTCACCAGCTTTTATTACGGTTCTTGTAGGACTGTGGCCTGAAAAGCAGTAATTTGCTAACCCCTCCGTGTACCTGAGTGATAAAGATGATTTACAAGTGGTGCCTGTTATCATTAAGTTAAGTTGTGTGTTACCATAGCATTTTATTATCTGGTACAAACAAAAGGTTGGTTGTATGATTTACAACAAGTCCTCTTCATGTCCTCCTAATGGCTTTATTTTTTAACATTCACCGTGTTCTGGCTGAGAAAGAGACTGAATATAGAAAAGCTTATTTTCTCCGCCAGCTTCCTACAGGCCTTCGTCTTTTTTTTTCCTTATCCAGCTTAACCGGCTTTGTAGAAATACTCCTTCATTGGCCTCTTTTCTTGACTTCATCATTAAATGCTGCAGAGCTTGACCTAAAAAAAATACAGCCCGGCATTCCAACATGAAAACAACCACTGCTGTCAAAGTACCTCTTGCTATTCTTCAGGGTTACTCCTCTAATAGGACGGCTACAGGCATAGCTGCTTATCGTCCACACAAAGAAACCAAATCCGCCGTACGGGAGATGCTAACTCCGCCTCCTCCTTCCTCCACTTTTCTCATGTTGCTGGTCCTCTGGCTTCTTGCAGTGCGGTCGCACATCCAGATGTGTGAGTGTTGGCCGGTGCTCAAGTGTGGTTAGCTGTCAGAAACCATGAATGTGCAATGGCCAACACAAACTGTACTTGACTGTACTTCTATTATCACAATTGGCGCAATCTATTGACTATTTTTTTACCATTTCTAAAGACACACAATGCTGCAATAAAAAACAATGCGCATGTGCGTTTTGTAAAGTACACGCTGTAATGTTTTGAATATAAGTGATGTCGCTCTCTCCTCTTGGATGTCTACTGTGATCAATAATAGCAGCTTAACCTCCCCGCTTTATTGCCTTATCTCTTCAATCTCTGCCAATAACGGCTTAACAACTTAATTCATCCTCTTGTGTTTTAATACCATTAACAGGGCTGCGATGTGGACCGAAATGTTCACGCAGGACTTCATTGCCAAGATAACCGAACTCCCTCTTTCTCCGCTCTCTCAGGATCATCTTCGGTGATCAGTAACGACGACGACTCGGCCTCCCCTCTTCATCACGTGTCCAATGGAAGCAACACTCCTTCATCCTCAGAGATGGGCCCCGACGCGGTGATCATCGGCATGACCAAGATCCCAGTGATAGAAAACCCCCAGTACTTCAGGAGCACCAACAGCCTGCTCAAAACTGACACGTGTGAGTAGAAACCTCACTTGTCCTTCATGTGTGAGCCAAATGAACTGCGTTAACAAATGCCTAACAACCAATTATGAGCAATGTGCAGTGGAGGCGACTGCTCCTGTGTTATGCATGGAGATTACCATGGCAACACCTTTCCCTGCTTTCATGGCAATGACCTTGGAGCTTCCGATGATAAGCTGTCAATTCCGAGAGAGAAGTGGCGTAACAGAGGGTGTATTTAATGGAGTGGGTTTTCTTTTGTGTATGCCCTGGCATTAATCCATACGCACATTTGAGACATCCACGTTGGACTCGTACATGCATATCACCAGAGCCAATGGCAGCCAAAAGTACAAGGGGTCTGTTTGCCGTTACGGGGAGCGGTGGAAGCGGAAAGGAGATAAGGAAACATGAGGAGATCCGAAGAAGACAATCGTTGAACAGACAGAGAGCACACACTGATATTGACCTAGTCCATCAGCAGGACATTGGGACTATTGGCAAGTAATAATACCTTCACCGAGCTTTGGCCTTGCGATGCAATAAATTGTGAAACCGCGTGTGTGTTTGTGTGTGTGCGCTCCTATTATCGAGGGCACAGTTGAAGGACATAAATTATAATTAGAGGTTGACCTCTTTGGTTGTGCGTTATTACTAAAAGATAGACTGGGATTTACAGCAGAGAGACAGGTATGAGGGCACTGAGGATCAATGAGCATCAATAACATACCGCTGCGTATCTGTGTGTGTGTGTGCGTGTTTTTAGTATCCTGCAGGCATTACAGCGATTACTCTGTACCCTTCTTTTACTCGCAAACAAGCAGCATAAATACTGAAAGTATCTGACCGATTATTTGGCACCGACCCGAGCAAAAGCATTTGAAAGAGACAGTTCTGCAAAGTGTCACTCGGTTGCTTGCCAGGAGCTGAACTCTTTTAAAACATTAGTCTTAACTAGCTTGTGGCCTGTAAAGTCAAATACAAGCTTTAACTCCAAAGTTGGCACAGACCACTTCCTGGCAGCAATAAAGCAACACTTACTCAGCAGAGATGATGGATCCTTGTGTAATTACGGGATCTGTTGGTTGCAAAGCTTCAGTTGTGCAGCTTACCTCTGAAGTTACCACCTCATTAACAATAATTACCTCGGATGAGCAACCGTGGTTGGAGACTGTGTTGAATGCTTTTTGAAACACTTGGGAGGAAAACTCCAACGGACTTGCGTCGGTTGGAAATACTGTGTGTGTGTTTCTGTCATCCCCCTTAGCGGTATTTATTAGCATCAATACGTCAAGCAACTCAAGCGAGGATGTAGTATGGATGTATTAATTAAAATGTTGAAGTTGTATCAAATGGATTTTTTGAGGATATTCAACAACTCTTTAGACCGCAGGTGTCAAACTCATTTTAGGTAGGGGGCCACATACTGTCCACTTTGGTGTCACGCGGGCCGGACCAGCCTACGATGGTCCGGTCGACGGACTGAAAATACGCTCCTTTGCTGTCATGATGAGAGTTCTGGAGTTGTTTAAAGGACTATTTCTTGGAGGCGAGCTGTCTCCCCGTTAACGGTCTGTGTGCTGAGCTAAGCTAAGCTAAGCTAACTGGCTCGAGCTGCATGTCAAATCTGTCGTCGAACTATGGCATGAAAGAAAACATAAACATCTCCCAGAACTGAAAAAAAAACCTTAAGCAAAACCTCAAGGGGAATAAAAAAGGACCTGGCCTCAGTTTCTCCAGTAGAAGCTGCATCCCTGATCTGGAGGAGAGATTTATCTTTCTTTATCTTGTGACGTTACACCTTCCTCTTGGCTTCATCAATTTTTCCACCGTTTTTTTTTCCAGCAAATTCTCTGGGGTTTTAATTTGTTCCATCTAGGGGATGAGGATTAACATCTCTTTCTGTTCTGGAAAATGTTATTCACAAGTCAAAATGTGCGTGCAGTAAATTAAAACAGCCTTTCACACGGACACACACACACACACACACACTCTCAGCCTGTGAAAAGGTCACAAATAGCCACACCTGATAGGACGGCACGTTGTAGGAGTGTGTTGAAAAAGAAAAGGAAATAAACATGAAGTGACATGAAGTGCATGAGGAACTTGATCGAGAGAAGATGTGAAGTATCTGTCTCTTTGAAAGCATCTGTGTCTCTTTGACATGTCTCATTACATGGTTCAAGTCAATGTCAGCTTCCAGGGCCATGAGAAGATTTTTGGGTAAAAAGAGGGAAGGAGAAAGAGAAGAAGAGGCAGATGAGGAAAAGTAGAATAATTATGTCCCGAGACATTAATTGATTTGGTTGTTTATGAGATGCAGATTAAGGAGGATAGCTGTGAGAGGTGTCTCCTTTGGGAAATGTGGAGCGATCGGAGGACCGGTGAAAAGGACACATGGGAAAATATGGGAGAGGAGGTGGTTGATGGGAAATACTATTCCTCTTGACGTTAATCTTGTCAGTGCCATCATAAACAAGTGATGGAAAATGAGTGATGGAGCAATAGAATGGGGAAGAAGGTGTGCCTGGATGTTAATGTTTAGATGAGTAACGAGAATAGGGAGGAATAAGTGATAGAGCAGCAGGATAATAAATTAGCGAGAATTTAGAAAAACATCAGAGAGCGAGAGTGTAAAGTTTGGTAAATGGGGGATAATATTTCTGTGGATCTTAATCAAGGATACTGATTGAAAAGAAGAGGAGTGATGAAAGCGGGCTGGAAGGAGTGTACAATTGGCTACGACAGACAGAGGGAGAGCAGAATTCATGAGAAATATGAGGCCATCCAAAATAAAATAACTTGATTACTATGCAAAGCAATTATGGGACATTTTGAATACATTAATGCACAATTAGTTGCAATGAGATAGTATGAATGTAACAATAAAGACACATTTAAAAAGTAAGGAAAAACAGCACGAAAGGCTACAACATAACATTTTCCTGCCAAAGTAAAGAAAAGCAATGGGAAAAGCAAGGTCTGCACTCTTCAATGTATTTCCTATTTGAGGATGTTAATTGTAGGAGATTTGGTGCGAGGCATTTTCATGGATGAACGCTTATTACACAAGCTTTGTAGAAAATGCGGTGAGGTAATTAGCTGGTTAAATAGTGAATAGTTGGCTTGTGGGTATGAGTGTATTGTGCGCAACTGCTGCTGCAGAGGGAGTTGTGTGTAAGTAATACATATTAAACATATATTTAGATAAAAACACTGACTAAGCCGAAGGCATAACCCTACTAACCTTCATCTTTTAAACATCATGTTTAGCCTATTGAGCGGCCCGTTTTTACACAACGTGTACGCACACTCATGCATCACTACGTTGCCTAGCAACGTTCTCCTATGAAGAGTTACAATCAACACAGCGTGTTGACACACTCACCTTTCTGAGCGGCTCCTTGTGAGCATTGTGCACTGCGGAGTACTCCAAAATATCTGGTCCACGTCCGACATCTTTGAAGCTTTTCTGTCACACCGAAGCTCTCGAACGTCTCCAAACACTTTGAGGTGTTCACACCTGTCCCCCGCAAAACAGGTGGGAGCCAAAATGACTCACGTGGCATGAAACAGCATTTAAAATGTTAAACGTGTAGATATATAAACATTTTCACCATTTTGGGTTAGGTTTTTTCTTTCCCGAAATGAATTCTGGCGATACATTTTTTTGTACAAATACTACAGGAAAAACATAATTCTTAGGATACAGACTTACACTGTACAAAGCCTACGAACACACGTGTTTGTTCCTCACCACCGCATTGTTAGATGCTTTTAAATACTGTATCTGATGTGGACATTCTCTCTCTCTCTGTGTCCCCTTCTTTCTGCGTCCGTACCATATTGGGTTATGCTGGACCTCGGTAGCTCACAGTGTAGATCGATGCGGCTTCTGGTTTTAATGTGATATTCTGAGTGGACAACTTTTCTTCAAATGCTCCTCTTAATCACATCACAGATAAATCTGTGTGTTAAAGAAGAACCCAGGTGCATGTGTTATAGGATAAAATGGGTTTCGTTGCATGTATACAAAAGAACGTCATAACGTATAATGACTATCGTCAGTTTGAACCATTTTCAAGAAGTCAGCTGGCGCGCAGTCGTGAGTTACTAGAGCAGATTTGTAGACCAGACATGAAACGGAGAGAGAGACACAAACATATTCAAGATTCACGTTATAATAAAAACATGATTAAATTAGTGTATGACACCAACAGAGAAACATTTGAAAAATGTAGAAAATCTCACATAACAGCTCACCTTGCCAAAAAAGATAAATCTGTAAAATGATTTCTTTCTTTTCATATTGTTGTAATTGTGTTGTAGTCTAGTCATGCTGCCATAAAAAACACGCAGACAAACACGAAACAAAAAACACAGCAAATGTTGTTTTACAATATTCAACACTTTACATTTATTTGATAAATGGCAGGATTTTTAATCCATTTTAAAGGGAATTATCTCTCCCCTTATTGCAGTTGTCCAGCATATTAAGAGACACAACATCGTGCTGAAGAGGGAGCTGGGAGAGGGAGCTTTTGGAAAAGTCTTCCTGGCCGAGTGTTACAACCTTTCACCTGACCAGGAGAAGATACTGGTGGCTGTCAAGGTAATGTTGGTCCTACTTAAACTTTATTTACTTTAAGTGTCTTATTTTCTTTGTAAAAGTACATGAATTTTTTTCCATATTTGTTGCCTTATTCAGCCTAAAATGTGAGATTATTAGTCCAAGGGAGAAAAAAACACAAAAAACAAACTTCAACAAAGAAAGATCATCCAGTCCTTATTACAAATAAGTGGTTTGAAATTACAGCGAGGCTTGTTTAAAACAAGACTTTGAAAACCCCTGCTGGTTATTGGCTCCTCATGGTCTCTGTGGGCCACAAGACATTTATTTGACATTTTAATTTAATATATATTTACAGTTTTACAGCAGATAGATACTTTGGACGAATGTTTGCCACCTCCTCACCTCCACTGCCTCCGCTGTTGTTAAGGGCCCCTCTAAAGCGTTTCGCTTTCAGCCAAAGGTGGAATTACACTCAAACCGCTGACTTCCAGGGTCAAATTGAATGGTTTACCAGGGAGCATCCTCCCATCACAGGTTTCCGCTCATGCATCTCTCCATCAAGGATGCTTTCTCCCCTGGTCTGTGGTGAAACACGATTTCATTGGGGGAGATTTTTTCATTAACAATACATGACCTGTGAGCCCCCCCCCCCTCTATCTGTCCTCACTTCCTCTGTCTTCTGTTCTTCACCTCTAACTCTCACCTGCCGTGCTTCAGTCCTCTGCAGCAGTTCTTCTTACTGCTCTCCTTTCCTCAAATCCTCCTTGTTGGCCCGCTGATGTTTGCTGCCAGCTTAGCTTCAGCTCAGTCTGAGCTCTCAGTAAAATATGCACCTGAAAATTCCACGGAAGCACAAAATGCTGTGTGTTGCTGTGCAGAATGTCAAATCAGGAAAAACATTATACAATCTACATTAAATTAACACTGAAAGCAAAGGTCCATGCGTGTATTTGAATTCTTTAGTTATTAGGGTAACGTCATTGATTTAACTCTCACAATTAGCTAATGTACCACCTGCTTACAGCACACGCTTCCTCCTTGTTTTGTCCGGTTTTTAACTAGTATGACTAACCACTTCCCTCTAGTTGGCCTTTCCTCCTCATTCTTGTTGCTACATTAACAAAGAGGAGACGTGATGAAATCTGGTGGAAACCCATTTTTTAAATTATACCATTTACTTCCTTAGAAAGTGTGTTTTTTCCAAATTACCAAACCACCGGCTACTTTTAAAGTAACATAATAGGGCGTATTACAACTAGTATATTTAGCACAGGGCACTGGAGCACAGAACCCATGGTACTGGTACTTTATTATGAAAGATTATGAAAGTTTGCATAATTGTCTGGAATTTCAAACATTTCAATAGACGTACATATTAATAATCTACATAATAAACTCATAGATTTGCCAGTGCATTCAATTACCAATACTCATCCTTTCGTTACCTTTGACCCGGGAGAAAGCATGTTGAGCTCTTCCCATGAGTACCTTCCTCATGTACACACTGTACCCGTGCTGCAGTCTGCCATGCATGCTACTAGAGAAACATGTACACAACATCAAAATGACCTACACGCGATAATGGGCCTTAATGTCTCAGCTTCAAGAGTCATATATCATCAACCAGTCAGCCATAACACAGCAACAACTTTCATAGTTACTGTACACATCATACATTTCGGGGCCATCTACCAACTGGCACACTTTAGCAGGTGCAGATACACAAAGAAATATGTATGCGCCCATATGCACGCTTACACTCCTGCATGCCATCAGTCATGAGCACCCAGCACTCTCAGCCAGGTTGCCTTCGCACATGTAAATGTGAGTCACTACATTCTTGGGCGAGAGGTTGTTGATTCCTTATTATTTGTCCAGGGACCTGAATATGTGCAGACTGGATGACTAACAGTGTAATATCATGGCTTCTAGCCTGGGAATTAACGCAGCAATGAGTTCAGAGATGTGATCATTCATACGGCAGCTAGATGTTTCTCACAGGAAACGTCTCTGAGTTTAACATTAAGTATAGATTGAATCCAAAAGTTTTAAATAGCTTAATTAACATTTGTTAAATCATTCCCTAATGCGAACAAATGCTGCCAGATAATGGTTGATTAGTTTCCTTCTTCCAGGAACTCACTTTGCCCTTTTACCTTCTTCGTGTAACGGCTTTTTAGAAAAAGAGAAACTTATTTTTGAGTCTATTAATGTATGACCAAACCATACAAGTGGTAGGGTTACCAAAGGTCAAAGACACTGCCTTTTAAATAATGTATACTCCCTCAGAAAAGGATTTACTAAGGCCATCAATAAGGAATTGTAAACTGAACAATCAAACCGAAATGTCAGGCTTTGAGAGGAAAAGCAACGCAGCTTTATTATACACGTATTTCTAAGGGAGGTTGGAGTGCAGGGTTTCATACTGTATCCACACTGTGCTTATCCCGCATCGTCAAGTAGTATATCACATTACAGCCTGTAATGTACACATGACCAAGCCTGTGATTGATACATGATTGGGGGAACATGTAGGTGGGTGGAGTTACAGTCTCTTTTTCCGCTATATCAGCGATTCAGCTGGGAGGTCGCTGGTCATTTCCATCTGCTTGAGATTTCTGAATGACTGCCCTTTGTCCTTTAAACCTAACAGGAGCTTATTTATGGGATGTTAGATCAAAGACAGACCAACTAAAAAAACACGCACACACTCAAGGTGGAAAGTGAACACAGATCCATGTCATATACTATAGGAAGACTATCAATTATTCATATGGAACAAGAGGAATTTTCTATTTTTCTCTTCTTCTGATGTAGAATGAATACAGATCCAGTACCACTTTATTTTTCTTCAACTCTCCCTCTCGCTCTCTCTCTCTCTCTCAGGCCAGCTTTTATGTTTCTTCCAGAGATGCTGGCATTTGAGAATATCCCTGATATATTTCCTAATTAACTGGAAGGGGAAAAGATTTGTGGGAATATAATGAATGTAAGCAGTGTTGTGCATCGTAATGGCTGACATTAATAAGGAGTTTGTTCCTGCTCTGCCATTTCTATCTGTCCTTACTTGTGTGTGCCAAGTTGCTGTGACTCAATTTTACAAGACATTTGCTTTTTTTCCTTGTCGACCTAAAAGATCGGAGTGGACTGGATGCACTGTGAAAATGACTAATCGGCAATAGTGCACGCAGCACAATGTGCACATTTGTCAGTGCGTTAAGATGTCCCTTCTTTGTATGTGCAGACACTCAAAGAGGCCAGTGAGAATGCAAGGAAGGATTTCCACCGTGAGGCTGAGCTGCTGACCAACCTTCAGCACGAACACATTGTCACTTTCTATGGGGTCTGCGTGGACAGCGACCCACTCATCATGGTGTTTGAGTACATGAAACACGGAGACCTCAACAAGTTCCTCAGGCAAGGCTCTTTTTCTTCCTTTACATGAAAACGTCATCAAACAATAGACCAAGCAGATTGTACAGTCAACGTGTCATCTCCACTTTGAGTCCATCTTCGATTACACTATTTTACTTGTTTAAATGATAGAAGAGTGAATAGTAACCAACGCTGCACAGGAAACAACATGACTCCTACAAAAAGTGAGCACACAAGACAATTTAGCATCTGTTTCCTTGCAGGGCTCACGGTCCGGATGCCGTTCTGATGGCCGAGGGCCAAACCACCCGACCTGTGGAGCTGACCCAGTCTCAGATGCTGCACATCGCCCAGCAAATAGCATCTGGCATGGTTTACCTGGCCTCACAGCACTTTGTGCATCGCGACCTGGCCACCAGGTTAGTCTCTGACTCAGTCACATCATTTGCTTCTCATTGCTTATTTGTATGAGCGGAATAAACATTAAACGGATAAATGCATTCAGGCCCTTCTACATTTGAGAACCAATAGATATTTAAGTCAAGACAGACTTTTTTCAACAATTGGCCATTGTTATGAAATAACTGCTACAATTACCTGTTGTAGTCCTTATTTATAAGTTTATAAATTTGGACATGTTAATATAAAAAACAAGAACGGATATTCTGTAAAACAGCAGCTATCAATTGTTTATGACTGATGAATTAACTTCTCAATGAGTGAGTACAATGTCTCACATGGCTAAACAACACAAAAGGTATGTGAAGCAACCAATGAATACTATTCAAAAATGAGAAGCGATACAAATCAAGTTCCAAACACATATGTGACAGAGGTTAATATCCTGCAACTCAAGCTATGTTTCTCCGGTACAAAGTTTGTTGTGTGGTTGTGTCTGTTGTTCAACAGGAATTGCCTGGTGGGCGAGAACCTGCTGGTAAAGATTGGAGACTTTGGCATGTCAAGAGATGTCTACAGCACTGACTACTACAGGGTAGGTGTACGTGTCGATATCTTTTATGGCCCTTTTTTAGCTTCATCCTTCCCTGCTGCATGCTCCCCTCTGCTCCTTCCCTGCATGGGCATGACTGACGGCGGAGTAACAGTGACAGGATTATTACACTAGGTAGAGCAGTGATATAGAACTTTATGTAAAGGCAAAGCCGGATGAAATCAAATGTAAAGGGGGAGAGGTTAAGTTGCAAGCTTTGTTAGGTCGCGCTTTGTGTGAAATTTATTTTCTGCAACTGAGGGCTAAAACACACAATTTGTTGTAGTCGCTATACACAATATAATGTATTCACTATGCAGTTGTTCATTTTATGTCGCTGCTTTTCGCCAGAGACCGACAGAGCGGAGAGCTGCTTTGCAAACACCAATATATTTAAATATAGTCCTCTCGGGAAAACTAAAGAAATGGATACAAAGAAAACATCTTAACCTTCCCTAAAGAAACCACACTGACAATGACAAGGTGATTCAAGGGATTTCAAACATTACACATATAAATATTACACATAATAAATTATATATTCATTTTTTGTAAATGATATGTGAGTATGTATTTTGTCTTTTGAGTATATGTGTGTGTGTGTGTGTGTGTGTGTGTGTGTGTGTGTGTGTGTGTGTGTGTGTGTGTGTGTGTGTGTGTGTGTGTGTGTGTGTGCAGAGGCGTTTAGCAGCTCCACGAGGAGTGTGGATAACTCTGAGCTATTAGAGACAGCTGAGCGGTATGTGTGGTTTTACCACACTATGCTGTGCAGTAATCTTTCCCAAAGGCCACGATCTAATAAATTGGACGGATGGATTGATGGTTCTTGACCTTTACACTGTGACAACCGACTGATACAATGACAGAAAACTCAGGTAATAGAAAATGGTCAGAAACTTTGTTTTTGGATGGATGGAAAACACACACTTTTTTTTGGAGACGTTTAGTCTATATTCAATTTATATATACAATTAAATTCCACATCCCAAACAAGAGAAGCATCTTACATGACCTAAACCACAATGTTGAAAAGATAAAAAAAATACAAGATTCACTCATTCCAAATTTGAAGCACATGAAAAACGGACACTTTTTGTTTTTTGTTTTTTAACACTGTGGAGATTAAATTTGAAATAAGTAGTTATTTCGGCATTAACATAAATATGTTAAAAAAATAATAATGTTTCCTGACTATTGAAGGCACACAGGAACCCCCTCCTTTCCCTCCTTTAACTCTTCAATAAAGCTAAGTGCCTCGGCTGTAGTCATGGCAACGGCTAAGGCAGTAGCTGAGAGCCCCGGAGTTGTATCCAACGTTTCTCTGGAAGAAAAGTAATCAGAGAACTTCTGTTTAGTATGCTGAGGCAGTACCAAAGCAAAAGGGGGAGGGTGGGGGTAGATAGCAGGGTGGGAGACGCAGGCAGGGGGGGAGGGTGAGACATGAAAGGAGAGAAAGAACTGGAAAAGAGGGAGAGAAAATGGTAAAGGGAGAAAACAAGACACAAATAAATACCCGAAATGAGAAACGGCCGTACTAGAGCTCTAGAGCAACATCACTGTGCTGAGGCGGCAGCGGAGGGATCGGCAGGCAAGGCAACGTGTGCACAGTGCCGAAGACAAAAACACAATACTGCAGCTTTAGTCATCCACAGAGCCCCACGGCAGAGACAAAGGAACAAAGGATCAGCAAAAAATGTCAACGAAGGACAGAAATGTCGACAGACAACAAAGAACAAGAGAGGCACAGCTTCACCATCCAGTAGAGACAGAGGTGTGTCTGCGTGTGGGTGGTGGGGGGAGTAGACCCAGTCATGGTCTTGCGTCAGAGAGCAGCAAAGATGAGTCAGAGAGGGATTGGACCCCCCGTTATGTGTGTGTGTGTGTGTGTGCGTATGTATCTGTGTAGGGAAATAGAAGCAGAGGCATTGAACTGTAGGGGCCGTGGTGACGTCATTGAATTCCTAATTACACAACGAACCCGACGGGCGCTTCAGAAGACAAAAACCTCCTTGCAACCTTGTCTTGAGAGTTACTTTGAAATGTAAATCGTCCCGTCCAACCCGTACGTTGACATTCTCATGTTCCATTTCTGGTTTGAAATAATCTGATATAAATTCCTCATTATCCTAAGAAACAAACAAATAGCTTAAATCAAATAGCTCAGAATCAAGCCCAGTAGTAACTGTAGGAATTATTCCAGTGTTTGCTTTTGCTCGACCTCAATGATTTATTATTTTACTAGACATGAGTGGAAGCATCACCAAAATATCAGTCATTTCACGCTTTCTGGGCCGGGCCAGGAGAGTAAGTGATTTTCTTCAGGGAAAAAACCCAAAACACACACACACACACACACACACCGACATAGAAAGAGTTGTTGTTTCCATAGCAACACAGAGGACAATTAAGGTAGGGTTCCTGAGTAAGAGTTAGTCACATCAGCCCCTCCCACACCACATCCCATAATACTTTATTTTTTAACTGGTGCCGTTGCCATGGATACCACAGCCTCCAGGAGGCCACTACAGCGAGCCCACGGCCCTCCTCTGCTTTACTTATCCTCCTTTTTGGAGGCTTTCCTGGAACACTCAGTGGCAGTGGTCTATTGCTGAAATAATGCATATTTATTAGATGGAGAGGGGGAGAGACAGGCAGGCGGGCTTAGAAATGGTGAGGGAGAACGAGGGGGAGAGATTGAAGAGGAGAGACAGAGAGAGGGCAACAGCAAAGGAGACAAAGACTGACGACGAAGCTACTGACAGCAAAGTGGAAACAGAGAAGGAGCTGATGACAGAGTGAGATTCACTGCTCAGTGAAAAAAAAAAGTGTTCGGTCTACAGCTGCTTTTCTTTATATTTGATTGCGATGCCTAGAAGATTTACTCTCAGTTGTTTTCTTTCCTCTGTTTCCTCTTTCTATACAGCCTCGTTAGAGCATTTTGTAAAAGGCTGCCTTCACCCTCTCATACATACTCCCAACGCGCCCAATATTAATATTTTAGACCTTCAGGGAAATTATTAGCTATGATGAATAAAACAAAAATACAAGATGTACGTGAGAAGGTACGCACAGCAAGTGCTTAAGTAATGTCTAAATATACATAGAATAGAATAAAAGAATAAACAATATCTACATCTGACACTTTTTACAGTTTTGAATATAATAATGGTCACACATTTCTGGGTAGTGAAAAATATGTATTACCAATCCATTTTCAGTTTAAACCCGCCATTGGCAAATACATCCCCACGATTGTTGGTACGGTCCCTCTGAAGATCTTAGTAACTATGACTACCTGCTATTTTTAAATGATTCATTAAATCAGGTTGATCTGAGCTAATAGAGGAAGCTCTAGCATCACAAGCTGTGACATACCTCCCAACACAATATATATATATATATATATATATATATATATATATATATATATATATATATATATATATAGTATATATTTGTATATATATATATATATCTATGTGCATTTTTATATATTGCTCTTCGGTCCTTCTGAGTGGCAAACCTCTTAATGACCTTCTTATTGAAGTCAAGCTTCTCCTCCGTGGAGAGCAGAGCCAGAGCATTAAGGCGATCCTGTGTCATGGTGTGTTTCTCAGGAAGGAAAAGGCGCCTGTCAATACTCGCCTTGATGAGAACGCGCAAGCTTAAGGCAAAACCAAGGTTGCCCCTGGTTGAGTCTATTCAAGGATGGTGATCGGCTAATTTGTTTGTCACACATTTATTTAAAAAAAGCAAGGGCCTGGTGGTGAAGAGTTAAGGGCTGCAGATATGTTTCCCAGTAAACCCAATGGCACCATGTATGTCATTACTCCATTAAATAACCCTCTGACAAACAAAGAAACATGTCAAGTGTGGGTACCAAGCCGTTAATAACAGGGATACATTTTCTAGTGCTCTCTGTGTGGAGCAATGGACTCTCACCACATATGGACTCAGGCTTTAAGTTACCTTCTCGTTGAGCAGGTTTGGAGTTCAAGCAGTGTCGTATCCATCATGCATATCTAACAGTTTCCACTGTTCTGGAGGTCTCAGGTGAAATTTGCTGCCATGGGTGTAGAAAGTAAAAATAGCGATTGAATACACGATCCAACAGGCTCCGTAGAGAGAGAATAAAGTGAAATGACCAAATGTCTCTCACAGTTCCTGTGATGTACTGAGTGGGATTGCCTGTAGAATTATCCTGTCTGCCAACAGCTGGAACTCCCTCTGAAGACCTTCTGCTGACACACTTTATCTCACGTAATCCACATCTTGCATCGGGCTGTTCACCCAGAAACTTTAGATCGTTCATTTTTTGATCAGTAGGTGGTTGATCCCTGCACAATAAACTTCCAGTGGACAATTGACGAGTGCCTTTGTTGTGAGTGAATATGAACGTCTGAAGGAATTCAAAGCAATGCCTTCTCACCAGTGAGCCCTTCAGTCAAATCAAATGATACGCTGATCTGGAGCGAGGTGGACCACAGTCAAAGGGATGATGCAGTCTGCTGAGCCGTACCTTCACATGTACCTCACCGCCTCATTCAGATGCCTCGGGAGGTAGTTTTGAGCAGTGAAATGTTTGCAGTGCTACTTTAAAATATATTATTGAAATTCCTGAGACAGACAAATGTGAAAAGCTGCGTGACCATACATTTGAAATGCATGAGAAGAATAGAGAATAGCTGGATGAAGAGAATGTGTGGACACTATTAAAAATTCTGTAAATATTTTGGATGCTCACTCTACACGATACTGACTTCATTCTCTCTCTCTTTTCGTGTGTGTGTGTGTGTGTGTGTGTGTGTGTGTGTGTGTGGTGTGGATTGTCTTCAAAGGTTGGAGGTCACACCATGCTGCCAATCCGCTGGATGCCCCCTGAAAGCATCATGTACAGGAAGTTCACCACAGAGAGCGACGTTTGGAGTCTAGGAGTGGTTCTCTGGGAGATCTTCACGTATGGAAAACAGCCTTGGTACCAGCTCTCCAATAATGAGGTGCGGCATGAGAACATCTGTCACTAGGGTTGTATGCGCACAAAAACAAGTACAGGGTAACAAAACTGTTGTCATCTGAGTGATGGCAAACGACGTTGGAGCAAGTTACTGAAATAAAAGCTTATGTCGGTGTTCTTTGCTGGCTTTGCTGGGCTCACCTGCACAGTGTGGTTGTCTGAGTGGAAATGATCGTTTTCAAAAGGGATCTGAAAATGTCGTGTTTTGTTGTGGATCACATTAAATTTTGTGGTCAAACTCTCTTCCACACATATTTTTACATATGTTTTACAGCCCCTGCCCTTTAATAGGATCTGAATCAGGGGTTTCAGGACGGTAAAGCTCTTTGAAGCAAATATGTGATTAATGACAAAATTATAAATTAACTTGACTTGATTTCAAGCATACAGTGATACAGCTACTCGGAATGAATAATGTGTTTTTATTGGGTTTTGCAGACCAACAAAAAAAAAATAGTTCTTAAAATAGTATATTTTAAGAAGATGTTTATTGACCAAAACGTGTTATGTTAGGGTTGTGTACATGTTCTCCATCAGCAAATGTATTAATTAAAGCATTTATTTAAAAAATAACCCTTACTAATGTCCCTTTCGCCACACTCAGGGTCTTGACCCAGTTTCCTGAAAACAATTTTGTGCCAAAGTCATCCAATCCTTCCCTTTCGCTTGAACCCCATGATGTCCTGAACTCTGGTTACAGCTTTCTAACCATGTCAGCAGTCGCTGCTTTCATCCCGATTCACTCTGGTTACATCCAAAATAACCTGTGGCCCTTTGCACGGCCTTCTTTTCCTGTTTATTCTATTATGGCTCCTTCAATTCACAGTTCACTTCCCTCTTGGCCCAAATCTGGTGCTCAGGTGTCTTTTTTGCACACGACAAGAAGTACCAAAGAGAGATATTTATTATTCATCTCTCTGTCTCACAGACAGTCACAGGATGAGCAAGTATCTTACTAAGGATTATGATGAAGATTACAAACAGTGTTCTTAATCATTTACAGATCTCGATTGTTAATCTTCTTACTTTCTTCTTTTTCCGCATTTTGAAATGACACAGCTGGTTTTTGGAGTAAATTGCATTAATTCCTCACTAAAAGCCGGGTATATATATGTAATAGATGAGGAAATGATTCAAAGCTTTATCATCGTAAAATATAGATATTTCACAAAGGGCTCCCAGAGAATGATATATACTCTTTGTACCAGCGAGCTCCCGTCTATGTATTCAACTATGTTCGCATTAAGTCTTTGAGTGTGTACAAACACTGCATTTCCTCTCACGGTGCTTTTCAAGAATCGGATTTGATTTGTCTGGTTGACTGCTGCAGTGTCGTTCGACTTCACCATTCCAGTAAATCATCTGCTCCGAGTGACATTTTTCCGGTACACCACTGCAGTGAGGTTAAACATCCTCACGCAGCAGACGCTCCATCATCTTCACCCCGCACAAAGTTGTGTTTTTCAGCTTGAATTGTTGAGAAATGTTCTTTTTTGGATTGTCTGCTGACATTGCGCTCCATGTCATCCCTCCCTTTCTTCTTCTTCTATAGGTAATAGAGTGCATAACCCAGGGCCGGGTGCTGCAGCGCCCGAGGACCTGTCCGAAAGAAGTATACGACCTGATGCTGGGCTGCTGGCAGAGAGAGCCGCACATGAGACTCAACATCAAAGAAATCCACTGTCTGCTCCTCAATCTGGCCAAAGCGTCACCTGTATACCTGGATATACTGGGCTGAACACAGGCGGACCATAGAGTGTGTTTGTGTGGGTCCAGGTGTGGATGACTGCTGTATCCTAGTGCGTCTGTGTATCTGAGGTTGCATGCGTATGTGTGTGTGTGTGTGTGTGTGTGTGTGTGTGTGTGTGTGTGTGTGTGTGTGCGCGCGCGTCAAAGGGTGGAAGCGGTGACACTTTTGGATTAAATAAAGTGTGTTAATTCTCTTGCAAGTTGTACAGTTATAGCTGTACAGGATGTGAAGCTGTTATCAAACTCTTCATCTCAATCAAAACCTTCAACTCTTCAACTCTCCTCCTCCTCCCCTCCCTCCTTCCCGGAGAGACGTTCACTAGGAGTAATTTAACCTTGTATGGGGTGTGAAATTTATTTTCAAATGCTTTGAAATGAATAGATGAAAATCTGATTAACGGGACTTAACATTTTAATGACTCATACCCCCCGCTGTCTGTCGGACAACAGGAAATTTCAAGGAAACGCAGCTTTGGGAAGAAATTCCGGAAGCTTCGAGACTTTTTGCGTGTAAATATGAAACTGAGACATGCTGAGACATTGCAGAGGACATCGCTCGGTGCTTTGTCGAGCCGTAGAGACACTGTGTTTTCCCGGATCTGGCTGTCTGGCTGTATGTCCATGAGTAACGGTAATGTCAGCATTCATCCGACACGGCTGGAGGAATTGACCACGCGGTGATGATTTACACACTGGTACAACATACAGCAGACCGGCTGTAACGGGAGGAATGACCGGGAGAGGCAAACACGATCTGGTTTCACACCTTCGGATGTGTTGTTGGCTAATTTCACAAAAAAACAACAACAACAACAACGCAATCACTCACAATAGAGTGCCTACTGAAGCTGAGCTGAACTGCTGGTGAAAAAGGCCGAGGTATTCTACTATACTGTGTAGTTGTGAATCCTTTAACTGTATAAACTTGATCTATAATATCTCCTCATGCAAAAGTCTGAGATACATGATCTTAAGGACTTATTCACTCATATTAGCTTTTCTGTTTCCAATTACCTATTTACTTTACTTGCTTGGTCATACAGCACAGGGTAACATGATGACTCCTTTTTTTCCTTCCCACCCCCCTGAAGTGACAGATGCTTCACTTGTGATTTCAAGCGTTCATGTCGGAGGTCAATTGATTCATTTGTCCGCAGCTGTGCGATAATCGGGAGGTCGTGGTTGGGGGGGGGTGGGGGGGAGGGGGGGTTGTAAAAGTTGCTATGGGATGCTGGGTTTTGAGTGGTCGGATCACGGTCAGATGTGTTGGTGACGGCGCTGTTAAAGGTGTGGTTCATCTGGTCAACCCATATTAAATCATCAAGGCTCTCAGCACTCAGACATCCTTGAAAACCACATCTGTGCTGGAGGCTTATGGGAACACACACACACCAACACACAAACACTATATACCTTATCCCGGCATCCCTGCTAGACAAACACACGTTTGAAACACACACACAGACAATGAAAGACACTCAAAACGGGACTAGAAGGAAATTGAATTGTGCATGCTTTATTATTTGAGCGCTGCAGTGCTTTAGCAAGGCCCCGTCCACTGTAATGGTGTAATGTATATTTCATTACAGCCTAATGGGATCCATTAGCACAGTCTCCTCACAGACATTCAAGACTTATTGTTTTATGGCTGAGAAGGAAGGATAGAGAGGAGAGGAGAGATGAAGGAGAAGACAACAGAGAAGGGGGGGGGGGGGTGAGGAGCAGTGGGAAGGAGAAATAGGAGAGGTAATAATGCACATTGAGAAACGAATGGGGTAGAAAGGAGAAGCCGGTCGCAGTGAAAAAGGTCGGAATGGGTCACGTGGAGAAAGATGAAGGGAGATGGAGGGAGAGGAGATGGACGAGTGAGAAGGGAGGAAGGGGGAGAGGTTTGAATGCCCTCAGGGAGGAAAGTTAAAGCAAACATCTATCATTGCCGCGGCCCCCAGATGTTCTGTGAAGCTAAAATTTCAACCTCACGCTCCGATCACATTCATACCTCCACCACGCGCACGCACACGCACACGCACACGCACACGCTACAGTTCACACATTCTTACTGGCAATCCACAAACAAGCTCAATAATGCACCGCACATCCCCATTATTGAGAACCACTTCACTCACTTACAGAACAGCTCAGACGTGTGGTCCAACCCCTGCAGGCACTCAAGCGCTCACAGGCGAGCAGGGAAACACTTTTATTGTTTGATTTTTAATTTTACTGGCACCTTTTTTCACTTTTTGCCGACACCGTGAGGAGTCACAATCCCTGCATTTAGCTGTAAATACATCAATATGAATGATACGTCTCATTTGTTGTTTATTAACAGCAGCACTTGATGGTATTGATGTTTGTGAACTTGAAAATGTTGATTTGATTGATTTATAGTATTCTTTGTAAATCAAGGAGAATTTTCTATATTTCTTTCTATAACTAATTTTGCCTTTCGCAACAGCAAGCTGATACTGATCACTGGTCTAACTGATGATGTTTTAGCTAATGTGTAAGACATGTGTGTATGGTTTCATGTCGGGGTCCCTCCTGACAGCGTCCCCTCACGAAAAACCAAACTCTACAGCGGGGATGGATAATAGTCTCACCAGTCGCCACGTCTGTAGACTGAGTTTGACACGTTGCACAGCCGTCCGTACCAGTCAGAGCGGGCCGGTCGAAGGCGCTCTAGTTGCCGACGCGGCCCCTCACAATCCACCCCCACTGCGGCCGAGTGAAAAGACGCCCCACAGAGACGGAGGGCGGCGTGAGGCGGGGGCCTCACTGGCGGCCACTCGGCTGCACAGTGTTTGTAGCCTGCACACCTGCTTTTTCTATTTTTTCTTATTTGTTTTTTTTTTACAAACGGCGTCTAGCTGGGCGGCTGGGTTGTTTTGGACAGTTAGCCGAAAGGATGGCGCTGGCAGAGGGGGGGGTTGTTTGGATAACTAAGGAGGGGGCTCTCATGGCACTGATGCCTCGGATCAAAAGTTATTAGTTCAACAGAGAGAGGATACGAGCAAAAAATGGGAGGAAAAACAACCCGTGCTGTACGAATGGAAAAGGAGGCACTGACAATCACAGACTTCTCTTTCTCCCTGCAAGTGACCTACGGTGAAGTAGACTTCTCAGCCAACTTTCCTCCTCGATGCTGCCTATGCTGTACGTGATAGTCCTAAACGTTGGTCGCTAGAAAAGCTACTTTTTCTTTTCTTTTTTGTATAACAAAATAACAGCGAGAGGAATGAACAAAAATACTTGTACAAAATGTGAATACGCTGCTGAAAGAAATGAGGATTGCTAACTGCTTTGTCCGAGACTGTGTCAGTATCTAGATTGTACTGTTGTCTGCTTTTGTCTTAGAAATGAGGACAGAGAAATTTCATAGCTGCGTGGGATCGCACAAATACACAACCACAACATGCAGGAGTGCAGAGTGTGGATGCTTTGTCTCCCAGTGGTGTGTGTGTGTGTGTGTGTGTGTGTGTGTGTGTGTGTGTGTGTGTGTGCGTTTGTAGAGAAGATGCCAGAGTGAGTCAGTAGGGATCCGTAGGCCGGGTTCAGACTCCAGACAAATCCTAGTACAAATGCAAAAAAAGATTAAACTGAGTCTTTGTTGTTACTGTTCACCAATTTGTGATAAGTGACTTTAAACGGTCGTCAATAGCTTTGGTGTTATGGCAGCTGATATCCATGGGATCACTCAATTCCTTTTGTATGACTCAAAAAATCCTCCACACTGCTCTCTGAAGTTCGGGCTTCACGGTATTTCCGGAATACCAATGGATCCGTTATCATAACTATCGCCTCACTACCACAGAAATACCGCTCTGACTTTGGGCTAAACCATGTGACTCAGCGAACATATTCCTTATGTATACACGTCCCAACTTTGAGCGTGTTGTGATCCATATCACAGTTAATACCCCCCCGCCCCCCACACCTCACAATCAGAGCTATTAGAGCTGAAATATCTTAAAGGTCATCTGTGAGATTGCCCGTGTGCTCGGATGCTTCTGGAGCCCCTACGCCCTGAAGAATGTAATACCACAAAAAACTGCTCAACTGCTGCAAAAAAAAGAAAATTTAAACTGTGATTTGCTTCATGCAGTATCTGTTTTTCAGTATTTGGGTTTTGTCTGCTATTTGTTTCTGTGTTTAGAGGGTTTTGAAGCTGCCGCCGTGGTAGGAGAAAAGGAAGTAGAGGATTTTAGTGGATGTTTGGCTTATAGTAGGTCAGAGGACGAAACCCTGTAATTTTTCTGTATGAAGAGATGTTGAAATGTTATTTCTATGCCTACAACTGCTTCTCAAAGTGAAAGAAACATCTGTACTGCAGAGCACACAAGATAATTAACAGCTGGTCTGATTCAGCTAATGTCTGATTTTGCAAGATGGTTGTTGTTCAGTAAAGCGACATTTTTGACACCACTCATTTGTGCTCTGCGGGGAACACACACACACACACACACACACACACAATCATACACCAGAGGGAACTTGTACAGTCATACAGTTTTGCCTGGTGGAAATGATCACGGTGAATCATGATGGTAATGATGACAATGATGATGATTTTTCCCTGAACGTGGACCAGTCTGTCGTGATACAATGTCATTAATAAAAAGTGTTATGTCACACCAAAGCTCCCGCAAATGAATATACTGAAAAGTGATGTGTTTAAGTGTGTGAGAGACAGAGAGAATAGAGGGACACGCGCTCAATGAGAACAGAGGCAGAGGAAGTACTCGGGCGGTGTAAAAGAAACAGAAAAGGGTTTGAGTGACGCCAAATCGCCGCTATTCTATGAATCCCATATTAATCCCAACATAAATCCTGTGTCTCTCAAGAAAAAACAAACTTGCCTTGTTTGAAAATTAAGAGGAGTCAGAGGACCTATGCAGGAAATTGTACAAGCAAATTGGACTGGAGAGCGCATCTAAATCCCTGACGCAATTAAGTGCTGAATTAATGTTATTTCTACACAGAGCCTTGTCTACTATTTATCTTTTAATAAAAACATCATTGGAGAGGAAATGAGAAATGCACAAGGCGGCACAAAATTCACCTCGGTGCTGAAGCATACAGCAGATTTGGCTCTCTTGGTGTGTGTGTGTGAGTGTGTGTGAGGGTGCGTGTGTGCGTGTGTGTGTTTCAGTGGGTGATGAGGAGGAAGGGAAAGCAACCAGACTCAGCATACTGAATGTGTGTGTTTGTGTGTGCATGAGTGGTAAGCAGTTGGTAGTAGTGCTCTCCTTGATGTACAGTGGAGAATCCCTGCACTCAGCACCTCATAAATAATGCTTTTAATCAACACACACACAGACACACACATACACACACACACACACACACACACACACACACCAAGTAGTAAGAGAGGCAGATGTGCTCTATGTTTTGGTGAGACAAACTCATAAGAAGGCATATGTTCTAGGTGCAGAAATGATTTTAATTTGGTGAGATTTATAGGCTTTAAGTAGGTATTCTACTAATTTACTTGTTGTATTGATATTCTGTAAAGGCTGAGGTTTGTGTATACTCGGATAATATTACTTCCTTACTGAACATTTATGAAAAAATAAATGGTATACTGTTCACACGATATGTTCTTTGTGTATCCACATCAGACATGTAAGTAGAATCTTGAGCCATGACTACTTAATTGTACTCGTTTACGTCTTGAAGTGAGATTAAACAGTGAAATTCAAATAAATGAGAAAAGAATCAATGAAAGAATACACATTTTTAAATGGATGGGAACTTGAAGTTAACACCTGAAACAAAAACCTCATTGCAAGTCATGAAGATGAATGTACTATGAATATAATTAAAATATATAAGCGTGCTTCTCTGTCCCACTCTGGTGCCAAACAAACAAAACAATATTGTCCCGTTACCCCCATTGACTCACTGACATTTCTTAATTGCATCTGTTTGGAAGTCAGGTAAAATTTAATTGCGAAGCACTTTAACAATAAAGTGTCAAATGACTGCACAATAACAACACATCAACTAAAACTGTTTTTGACAAAAAAAACAGGTTCCTCCCAAATCTCGACACAAAACAGACTTAGCAAAGAGCTTCACTGAGGATGGTCGGGTTACAAAGAATAAACACTGACATCTCAGTGGAACATATACAATATATATATGCATATACAGGGGCAAAATAAACACGATCACAATGCTCAGCTGAGCTGCATGAAAGACAACATTGTCATTCTCGTCAACAAGGTCACGACAGGGACGTGCGATGAGGGGAGACGGGATCTAAGCCGTCAACGTTGGCGCTTGGTTCTGAAATGTATCCATGATACATGATACTGCATTATGTCGCGCAGTCCTGTGTTGATAACAAAGAATGCACCTTCACAGTTGTTGCGGAGACACGTCCGGGTGGTCAGGAATCGGACACTGGACACTTTGGAAGAAATCCTTGACAGGCAAGTTTTGGACAAGCGAATATTAAGGATTACATCAACCACAAATAATGTGAATTGTGATTTAATGCAACAAGCAAAGAAAAGAAAGCTCAACTACATGTTGTGGTTTCCTTTAAAGTCACTATGTGGTACAATGAGCAGAAGAAAGATGACACACGGGGAATAGTCCATGAAATACACATTACAGGTCATTTAGCTGACACTACATTGTATTTTGGTTTTTACATTTTTGTCCGGGGACCCTTCGACACGGGAGACCCAGGGCTCAAACTGCCACTCTTGCACTTCTTAGCGCAACCTCTCTACTCCATGCGCCACCGTCACCTACAACAAGTAATGTGGAGAAAACACAACCTTTTATGGTCTTAATAGTGGGGGGAAAGTGCTGTTATCCCCTGAGATTCTCCGTCGTGATTCCACCTGTGTCCAATCACTTGCATGTTCCCAGTGTTTTTAAACCATGTGTGTCTCTTGTGAATTGATTAAATGTGTTTCCTTTGTCTTTGGGTTCTTGGTCGGCGGTTTATTATTAATAAAGTATTTTTGTTCTGGGAATCTGCGTCTGAGTCCTCCTGTCCCTGGTCATGGACTTTCCCCGTGACACCAAAACTGTCTTAGATGGGAAGTGAAGCAACCCAATAAGTGACATTACACCTGACCTGAGTGGCCGATACCCCATCGAGACAAACGTACAGCAACTCAGTGAAGCTCTTTGCTAAGTCTGTTTTGTGTCGAGATTTGGGAGGAACCTGTTTTTTTTGTCAAAAACAGTTTTAGTTGATGAAGCCTTTTCCAGCCTAAACAATATTGGCTGCCAAGCCGGGGTTTAGTGTCTCCATCAAGCGAGTTGCACATGAAAGCTTTAGTAATTTGGCCTGTGCCTTAATACTACACTATTATCTGTAGCCTCATCCTACAAGATCCAAAACGCAGCAGGGAAGAGTGACTGCAGCTCGGGGGGAAATGTGTCATTATTACAAAAACATAGGCTGAGAGAGGAAACACACAACAGAACAATGGTTCAGCGGAGACAACGACGAGCCAAAGCTGCATCTTAATGACGTGGTCCAATTAGAGCTATTTAAGGGAATGACAGGCTCCCATTATTGTGGTTAATCCCTCGCTGCTGCACCTGCGCGATGGCATCATGTATTCCACAGGGAAGCGTCTGGTATGTGTTTCTCTACCAATGCCTGTTAGTATGCACATGATGTATGGGTGTCCCCTGCTGCAAATAGCGATGGGAAGCTTAATAAATGGGGGTTTTAAACTTTGTTTTATTCAGTTGAAAATTTTCTGTGTGGTGTAACAATGTAGTGTAATTCTGCCCCCCCCCCTCCTTCTCCACTCCAGCTTAAAAGCTTTAGTGTGTTTTCAGGACAATTTTACAGACAAAGTTGGTGTTTCGATAAAAAACAGAGACTTATAGATAAAGGATGACGTGTGCGTGAAGCATGGTTTTCAAACATCCACTCAAGCTTCAACAGCACATTGCACACAAGAAAAATATGATGGAGCAGACTGTTACATTCCTAAGGTTGATGTGAAAAAAGGTCTAGCCAGCAAGGTACCTAAAGTAAAATTATAGTACAATATCTTATAATTCCCAAAAGAAAAAAATAAAACAAGTGTGTTGAACGGAGTACGCTGTGGTTCATTTCCTCTGATTTAATAGAAGAATAATTTAATACATATGCTGAAAGAGTTGACGGTATAAAGGTTAAATCACGGGCGAACTGATTCTCACTTGTGGCCTTAATCTACCGCATCCAGAGACTCAATCACCTCCCTGTTTAGTTCTTCAACTGAACGTAATCACGGCCCAAACGAGATTTCCTACTAAACAAAGTATTATCAATGTTTTAAAGAGACAGGTTTGGTTTCTGCCCGCCTGACAATCTCCTGGGGCCATAAGAGAGAGAAATGCTCTCTTGTTTAATTATTACCAGTAAACACATGAGGTGGCTGGAAAACGATAAGAAATAATTGATCTCTGAACAAAAACAGATGGATTAGATACAGACACAAATATTAGGGTGGCTGAACAAATACAGATATGATAAGGAACCACACCTCAGCAGAACCCTCCAGCGAATTAAACACACGGGCCGAATTAAACTCCCTCCCGGAGGACACCGTCAAAATGGAAAACACATGAAAAGAGGACGGTCTCGTGAACGAGAGGGCCATTGCTCATCCTCTGTCTCCCTCTGATCCTGCAAGAGTTTCCTGTTGCACCAAAACGGAACAGCCAGTGGCTTTATCAAGATTTATGAGCTAAATCATCATTGGAAATATAAGACACTTGTTGTGGCACGGGGGAAACGGGGGGAGGAGAGAGAGAGAGAGAGAGGAGGTAATGTTGCTGGCTGGAGCAGACGAGGGGAAAATAAGGGACAATGAGGAGACGAGGAGAGGGGAGAAGTGGGAGAAAATCCAGCAGAGAACGAGATAAAGGGAGGAAGACAAACAGAGGGAGATAGTGAGGATTTTGTTAAGAACAGATGTCTAGACGTGATCTTAAAAAAACATCTTCAGTGCCATCTTTAACACTCCTGCGGTTTTCCTCTCTAAATGACATCACATTTGAAAGCCGTTATCAAGTTAAACAGTCAGACACTGAAAACAAGCTGAGGTGCACTAGAGATAAAGGACTGAATAGAAAACGTGGAGGATCTCCGGCGGTTGTATTGTACGACTCCACCCGATGATGTCATCTCGCTTCAGGACAACACGACGCACACATGCAGGCCGAGAGCAAAAAGGAGAACACACCCATCGTGCTTTCACGTGGAACGCTGGTGGAGCTACAGGACATTGTCATGTGTGAGTGTTTCGTGTACAGAGCTTATCAGAATGCATGATGAGGTGTGAAGGCAGCTGCAGGATGGATGGACAATGTCACAGAAGGAGCCAGAGGAGAATGGACTTTGGTTGCAAATGAGGGACACACTGCAAAGTCTGCCAAGTAATGTGTTTATTGCATTGCGTTACATTTTATAACCTTAAATAAGCAAATTGTGGTAACTATTCAAATAAAACTACAAAACATTTCCCAGGCACTACACGGGATATCATGTTGAACCAAAGACAACTTTTTCTTTACAGTATATCACCAGTCAGTGATGCCGGGCATGAGCACAAGCTCCCATAATGTCAAGTGCACAACAAAGTAACAATTGTATTCCTATTAAGCCCG